TTTACGGAATCCTCAAGATCAGAGGGTAAGCAAACACTTGAGACAGCACTAGACATGCAGGAGGGATGTTTCTGTGCACCCTCTACCAAGAATTTTTTCCTTCAGGAGAAATCTACCACCCGTCCTCACATGGGAGAGCAAACAAACCCACAATACAAAAAAACAGATGAAGCAAATTAAACCTTACCTTCAAAATATCCTGCAGCTGCTTCAAAACAACATGGACCTCTTCTTGTAAAAGCCATTTAAATTCTTCTTCCTACATTGTGGAAAGATAGCAGTGGAATCATTAGAAGTCAAACACTGGAAAGAGATCTCTCTCTCAGTCACACATGAAAACTATTTAAGTTCTAAGTATTCTGCTATGTCCATGTCTTTTAAATCACATGCTAGTAGAAGAAAAATATTTAGTCCTAATTTGTTAAAGGGCCTTACTCTCCATCCTAACCAAATGAATTGTCCTTATTCTTGTTTTGATATTGTCTCACAAAACAGCCTTCATACAAATCACAGGATTTGGAAATTCACAAGATGTAAATTTCAGGGAAATGTGCAGACCCTGCTGCTTCAAAACCTGGGACATCTATTTAAGCTGCTGGAATGGGCTGACCCTGACTGTTGGGCAGCCAGATACCCACTCAGCCTCTCCTACTCCCCCTCCTCAACAGGATAAGAGAAAAAACTGAGATTAAAAGCTTGTGGTTGAGATAAAGTCTAATTACCATCAATGGCAAAACACACTCACCTTGCAGACAAATTAGGTAGTGAGAAACAAAGACAATACCTAAAACGTTTCTCCTCCCCCACCCTGTAACATTTTACCAGGCAACAGCAGCCTAAAAGTAAACCTAAGCTGAAATGTGGGTGGCAGGACAGAAAAGCTGAAGACACCCCATCACCTGGGCAAATTCAGGAAGAAATAAGCTCAGATCTGGCAGCACCACCTTCAGCCTCAGCCAGCAGGGAAGCCTGTATAAAGCAGATCCTCAAACCACACAGCTAAGGATTACTGTTAAACCACAAGGCCCCATGCTGAAAAACATCACAGAAGCAGGTGACAGGAGCAAGCAAGGGACAAAGAAGAGATTGACACTTGCTGCCTTAGAAGAGAAATTTTCCACATGGACACTACCAGAAGGAAATGAATTGAGCAGGTTGCCCACAGAAATCATGGAGAAGTGTGGTCAACTCAGAGAATTTAAGCCTGTGGTTTCTCCGCTTGATAGTCCCTGCTCACCATGAAAAACACAAAATAACTACTCCCTGATGTCACCTTATGCACCAGTTATCTAAATAAAGAGTAGGACAAGGCCAGTTCTGTTTCTGCAAATGGTCACCTGAAGCAGGTACACACTACTATAACCTAGGCAGGATTCTCCGTTATCCTTCAAACCAGTGTGGCTGCAGGACTACTGACTTTCACCATTTAATCCTGTTTTGGGTTTCTGGGCATCATGCCAATATACTGGATTCCTTGTTCTTTTGTTCTCTGTTACACTCACTCTCCCTCAGGTTCACAAAGGAACAGAACTCACGCAGGTAACACAGACACCTTCAAGTGCCTCCGCCACCCTACTGCTGCTATGCACGTGTTTCCACTGCACATCATCTTTGGTATCTTTCACCCCCCAACTGACTGCACAAGATCTTCCTGCCCCAGTATTGATTTTATGCTAAGTCAAGTTCATTCACCATGTATGCACAACTACACGCCTTGTGTTCTGGGGGAATGCAGTCGTATCATTCTAAAGCACAGTAGCTTTAGAAAACCATGGTTTTCACATGTGGCTTTCTGTCCAGTCCAGATGCATCTCTCAAGTTCCCTCCTTGGAGAGGAAGCTTTCACTATTTCTTGCAGACTGTGTCCAAGGAGGCATCCGCAGTATCAGCAGGTCCACATCTTCCCTTACCTTTATCAAGGCAACAAGGCTGCTCTGACATGTATTACAGAATGACAGATTCATTTGGGTTGGAAAGGATCTTTAAGACCATTTGGTTCCAACCCCCTGCCACAGGCAGGGACACCTTCCACTTTCCACTAGACCAGGTTGCTCCAAGCCCTGTCTAGCCTGGCCTTGAACACTTTCAGAGATGGAGCATTCACAACTTCCTTGGGCAGCCTGTTCGAGTGCCTCACTACTCCCACAGTACAGAATTTCTTCCTTACATCTAACTTAAATCTTCCCTGTTTAAGCTTTAGCCCCTTACCCTTTGTACTATCCTGCCTATCATCTGCTGGGGCTGGTCCTCCACCAAGCAGGATACTGGGCTATGAAAAACACCAAGGTCACGTAACTCAACCAGTGATTTACGTAGGCAGGGTACCCACCTGCGCCCGGACCCAACCGCGGCCAGCGCAAGAAGCGGCAGCAATCCCTGCGCCAGTGGAGGCCAGCTCAGCGAGGGCCGCCACAACAGCTGAAGACGGGCTCTGCGAGGAGGAGTAGTGCTGAGGGCAGCACAGCACCGGAGCCCGGAGCTGGCATCAAAGCCCCACGGCAGCGCACGCAGCGGTGACAGGGCGGCATTCACAGAGCGCCGCAGCCAGCCAGGGGGCTGCGGCTAACCACCCAGCGCAGGAGCAGAGGAGCAGAGGAGCAGAGGAGCAGAGGAGCAGAGGAGCAGAGGAGCAGAGGAACAGAGGAACAGAGGAACAGAGGAACAGAGGAACAGAGGAACAGAGGAACAGAGGAACAGAGGAACAGAGGAACAGAGGAACAGAGGAACAGAGGAACAGAGGAACAGAGGAACAGAGGAACAGAGGAACAGAGGAGGAGCCCCCCAGCCCAGCCGACTCACCAACACCATCCGCTCGCCCGCGTTCGCCATTGCCGCCGCCATACCACCATCCGCCGCCGGCCCCGCCCCTTCGCTGCGCCCTCGGCTGCTCCCATTGGCTACAACCACTGTTTCTCTGCCCAGCAACGCAGCCGAAGCCTCGACTGATTGGGCAGCACCGCGCTCCCTGCGCAACCGAAGCGCGGCGAGGTGACGTTAAGCGGGTGCGACACTGGTAGCGGTTGGATGGTACCAGCGGTAGAGGTATTTATTCTTCCTATCTCCTGCTAGCCATCGCTGTGATTAAGAGATAGGTCACTTTGGGTAAAATTGGAACCCCAAGTCAAGCTGTGTACCTCTTGTGTTTTCTTTGCCCTTGTGGAGCTGTTGGAGCGAGCCTAGAGGAGGCTCCTGAAGTGCTGCGAGGGCTGGAGCAGCTCTGCTCTGGAGCCAGGGTAAGACAGCTGGGCTTGTTCAGCCTGGAGAAGGCTCCTTAAGGGGAGACCTTAAGAGCAGCTTCAGTGCCTAAAGGGGCTACAAGAAAGCTGGAGAAGGGGGTTGGACAAGGGCCTGTAGGGACAGGACAAGGGGGAATGGCTTTAACCTGACAGAGGGGAGATTGAGATGAGATCTTGGGCAGAAGTTGTTCCCTGTGTGAGAGGTAATAAAGGGTTAATGAAATTTTGCTTTCACCAAGCATATGTAGCCTGCACAAGATAAAAGCTTATCAAATATGACCATCCTGTAATGTAACACCAGTGAGAGAAACTGAAAGAACTAACACCCACAAGACTGGTCAGAACTGGCTCAAGAGCGAGGGTGAAAAGTTCACCTTAGAGGAAGACGTTTTACTTCATTCCCAAAGATCCCGGAAACGACCACCAGGAGGCACAAAGCATGCACCGAAAGGAGGAAACCAGGAAATCCTTTCGGAGAAGCAATTGTAATAGTTCCTCCCTGTTCCCGCGATAACTCTGAATATGTATTCGGCTGATGCAACAGAGAATGGATAAAAAGCTTGTGTACGGGCACAACAAGGCGCCTCTGGCTATGGTCATGCACCCAGCGCTGTTTGCTTTGAACGACTGACTTTGTCCCTAATAAATTTTTTAGAATTGAGCTCGTTTCTCACACCTGTGAGGGTGCTGAGGTGCTGGCACAGGTTGCCCAGAGAAGCTGTGGCTGCCCCATCCCTGGCAGTGTCCAAGGAAGGTGTCCCTGCCCATGGGAGGGGGCTGGAACTCGATGAGCTTTAAAATCCTTTCCATCCCAAACCAATCTGTGATTCTGCGATGATTCTGTGAATAATGGGTAAAGACTTGGAAGTCTCATCACTTTCCTCTCAAAATTCTGAAATTGCAGTAAGTTTATGCTGGCATTGAACTCTCTGTTGAAGTTAGTGGGTTTTAACGCTAGATTTACTGCGGGTGACAGGTGGTGAAGCAAAGAGCACCATCATCTTCACTGCATCAGTGAGGTGGCTGTGGAATGGAAGGTACTGCTCATTCACAGAGCATGTAAAATTCTGCTACTACCTGTTTCTGCTGTAGGCACAACTCTAATGTGGTGGCCCTGCTCCCCCACCTTCTGCATTGCTTTTAATTACAGTGCTAAACCAGAGTTTTCCTTACTGTAGCACCTGTCATTCATATTAGCTAAAGCCTATCAAGTACTAGCCCCTTACACCTCAGTAAACGAACAGCTACTGCCGTTTGACAGCAACTGCTGCCTGGATCATCAAAAAGCAATATTCTGGAGCTTACAAACACTTCAGTTAGGTGATCTTGTCCTAGGAAACCCCACTCACTGCTGAGTTGGTGCTCTTAAGCATTACTGCGCAAAAAACACCAAAAGCCAGAAGGACAGGTGCTCCAGACACAGCAACTGGGCACCAGGCTCCCAATACCTGGCCAACACAAGAAGTCACCCACATCAGAAAATTCCTGGGCCTCCACCTCTCAGCATTCCTTGCTTTAATACAAAGCCTTCCTCCTCCTCTTAGCCCAGATGCACACAGCCTTCTGCATGTAGAGTCTGGAATCTATCCCATTAATCCTTTGCAGTGTCTCACTGACAAGATCAGGCTTCTGCAAGGACCAAAATGCTCTCAGGCATGCTGCTGGTTTCCAGCATCTCCGAGTTTTGAATGTTTTGAGGAATGCACACAATTCTTTAGTGCCACACTTGAGGTTTGATAGGCTTTAGGAACTGTCACAAGAACATCGTGTTACCAAGAAAGGTTTTATTCTTTTTGCCAGTAGCTTTGTTAATTGCACAAAAAAAAATTTTGTTTTGCCATTTAAACATTTTCACACATCCTATTCTGAATGACAAACATTAATTAAAAACAACGCAAAAAAATAAAAATTCACAACCTTAATTAACTATAGGATCTATCATTTAGGAAAAAAATGTTTTTCTTACAAGCTTTTCACAAGTGTCACATTTTCTCTTTAAAAAGGAGGGAGTCAAAAAAAGCAAACTGCCAAAACAGAAATCCTCATAAAAGGAACTTTACAGAATTCTCAACAATATTAAGACAACACTGAGTAGCCAGTTTTATTAGAGCTTCTCACCCTCGCCCTTTTATCTCCCCCAAATCTCAGGCATAGAACAGATGAAGATCCATGTTCAGAGGCTACAGACATAAATACAAGAATCTGAGCGAGACTGACATGAGTTCATCTCAAACGGCATCTGAAGCATTTGGGTTTTCACCGTTTCCTCCCTCCTCACTCCATATCCGCGTCAGAGCCCTCAGTCTCCTCCTGCTCCTACCTGGCCCACCAGTGAGTGTACTTCACCTTCCAGCCACCCCACATCCACCTTCCTCACCAGGAAGCTGCAGTCAGTCTTTCTCAGGATAAATTACAGTGTTGAAGTAGTCTACACCTGCCACTCCCACATAAATAATCAAATCCATTTTGAGTACTACAGTATTTCTGGAAAACAAAACCTGCAGCAGCAGGGCGCTAGGGAGCGTTTCTCCCGCTCACAGATACAGTTGAGTTCACTATGAAATACAGGTCACGGGACTTGAGACCTCCTTTTGTACTCTCACTCCATCCAGAGGCACCACAAAGTAAAGAAGAGGGAGATCCTCCATTCCCTTTGCTCAGAACCATTCACCTTCACTCTCGCCCAAAAGACCTCTGCAGGGACAGGGCAGGGATGCTGCTGCACTGGCTCAGCAGAGTTTCATTCTTGACCAGGGACAGTACCTTCCTTTTCCTCCCAAAAGATTTCTTAGACTATAAGACCTAAAACTTACCTCCTGCCCCCGAAAACACCATTTCCCCAGATGTCCTCAATACACAATTCACATAAGTGATTTCTTAACTGCAGTATGTTTAACCAAGGACTTCTGATGCTAACAGCTGAGCTCTTCTGGACAGGGGAAGCGCAAGTGTGTCAAAAGCAGGCTAATGGCTGGTTATCCTGAGTAGTTATATGTGCCTTTAATATGGATATCTACATGCAGGATGACAGTTGCACTATCTAAGAAACATGTATAACTAGTATTGTTCACGCATACCACTGACAAATGGGCAAACTGATGCGTAAGTTCTACTACTAGATGTTCACCAGAGGACATAATGTGTAACACAGTTATTAGCCCACAGATAATGGTGATCACAGGCAGTGAAACAGTCAACAAGTAACATTTACAGCATTAGGTGTTAGATGTTACGATTCATAACAAGTATCTGATACTTTCTCTGTTTCTTAATAAGGTGCCCCTGAATCATATGCACATGCTGCACAAAGCAGGATTGGTAAGAAATCCTAACCCACAGGAACATTTCCTTATACAGCCATGAAGTTACCAGAAAAATAAGATGGCAGGAGGGCCAGACCTCACAGGTTTAAAGGAACATGGTCTCATTTGAATCTGCTTTCTTTCCTGTCAGAATCCCAACCCAAGAAAGGAGACTGTGCCACTGAAGAGATTTTGGCCAATAAAATTTCTTACTGGCATTTTACTAACTCTCAAGTCTAAAATGCAAGAACCCTCCTAAAAGGCTAATGCTGAGAACAGCAAGTGTGAATGGGGAGGAAAGGGAAAAAAAAAAAAAACAAACATGCTCTGTGAATTTTTTGAGAGACAGGCTCTGGGTTACTCTGCTAGCAACAGAGAGCATCTCTGCTCTCCATCCTTGGCATCTGCAGTTAAAGTCCCATATTTCTAGTCTAGAAAGCTAGAAGCTCAGCAGTGAGTGGCCTTAGCCTCCCATTTTATTTCCTAGTCTTTCTAGAAGTTGCTATCTGGCCACAGAGTCACAGGCACAGGAAAAAGTTTCACACTGTGCTAGTGTCATGCCCAGAGTAGTAACACTAAGAACATATATGGAAAACCTGACATGTATAAAGATCACAAATCAGTACACAAAAACATCCCTGTGAGGTAGGCATTCATCACCCACCTTTCCAGATGGGCAAACAGGCTAAGGGATATAATGACCATGCAAAGGCCAGACAGAGAGCGTGGGAAGCAGCTCAGGAATCCCAGTCTCTTTGCTCTATAATTGTTCTTTTCACCCCTTTCAGACTCATCACTCTGTGACACTGCTGTAATCCAAGACACCTTTGTCATCATTACTGTCTACAAGGATAAAAAAAACAAGAATAAAGCAAGTGAAGCAACACAACATAAGCTAAGACCAGGAGCAACCCTAAGGTTTGCTCCTTCCCCAGAGTATCTCTGCCTCAGTTTTAGGCTACATGTTACTCTTGCAATTTTCTATGCAAATGTGTTGATATTCAATGCTGGTTTTGGGATGGGCAGCTGTGATTAGCCTTTTAGGAGGCTCACTTAACACCGGCATTCTCTCATTTTCATGAAGGTTTGTGTTTCTTAAGCTAAAGCTGTCTGTACAGGAGAAGACATGGATGTAATCTGTTCTTAACTGTACAAAGAATTCCTCCATCAGCGTTTTGGGGAGGTGGAGGTTTAAAATGAAACAGAATCAAGACAGTGTGCAATCCCATTACCTTCTGAACTGCCATTCTCCTCCATGGGAGGTGCTTTGTTCTCTAACAGTGGCCAATTAACAAGAATGCTCCTCACCTTACTTGGGACCAAGGACTTTACTGATATTCATAGGTAGATGGGAAGTATGTCACCTGTCCTCTAGATACAAAGAGTCCAATACACGCATTATTTTCACGGCAAAGAAGAAAAGGGATCATTAGAAACAGCATTTTGGACAAGCATACAAAGAGGAAAATAAAAGCAGCCAAGCAGCAGATTTCTGGCAGAGTTGCCTCAGAGCTTCTGAACAAGCCGCCACTGTTCTGTTCCATGACTGTCAGTGCATGGCATGGATTTTTCTAATTAGACTGCAACAATCCAAGCCCCTTCCTCCCCCCCACTTCTGCCACCAGGGGAAGGCTCACTGCAGCAGCTGCCTCCATGGCAGATCTCAAAGTCTGTATATAAAAGTAAATGGAAAGACAGAGATGGACTGGTCCAGAGTTAAAACCCAGTATCATAATAATATTAATCAATAATCATAGTATTAAGAGTAAGAACGGTGTAGCCTAGTGGATGTAGGCCCTGTACACTGCAGACATGTCGTTGTCTGATTGGTCCAATGCTTTTGCTCGTTTATAGACCTGGAGAAGAGAAATTAGGAAAGTATCAGTGCCTGCGCGTGTGCAAAGCCTTTCCCCAGCAGAAAAACTACTTTGCTGACCACTGCAAACCAGAGAACTGCTTTGTATGTCAAGTTTGTGGAGCAGCACAAATCAGAACACACCAGGTCTTGGTGAGGCCATCTCTGTTTACTGATGTGACATTCTAAGGGCTTCTAAAATAAAAATAAATTCAGTTCCATCCTACTCAAAATGTATTTCAATACTGTTCCCTTGTTATAGAGATGATGTAGTTCTTAGATTTTGGCTCTTGTTGACAAATGGCTCTACTGAAGACATGTTGAGCAACACACATCTGAAAACTGAGTAACTCTTACCTCATTGGCAGCAGCTGCCATTGGAGTTGGGTGGTTGACAGAATCACCCAGCGCAATAGCTAATCTAAGATCCTTCTGTATGTATTTCAGGTAGAAATCAGGTTTAAAGTTTCCTTGCAAGATATCTGTCGAGAGGAATGCATGCAAAAAATAAGCATGACAAAAGTAAATCAAGCCCACACTGCAAGGGCATGCAACTCCACACCAAACTTCCTTTTCCCATGCTGAGCACTGGGAACACTGCTTTTAGCTCTTCTGTTTCTCTGCCCTCTATCTTTACCTGGCCACAGCAGATGTCACTACTGCCCACTTGACAAAGCAAACTGACTGCAAAGCAGCTTGCCCTCCACTTCAGTTAATACCCTGGTCCAGTGAAATCCTCACTGTGAACTCAAATCCTAAGCAGGCTGTAGACCATGCAGAGCTTGGGGCGAATTCTCAGAATCCCTGGCTATGAAAGGAAAGGAATGAAACTCAGCTCTTCATTTCCAGAATGCTTAAAGTACCCAGAATCCCAGGCTGATGAAGATGGGATGGTTATTTTCTCCCTTCTGCCATTATCTGAAATGCTGCTAAGTTGTGGCAAATGTCGTGTAATAAAACAATGTAAGAGAACTTTACTTTGGCACTTCTGGTCCAGGAAGATGCTGGCAAGTTGTCCCTGATTGAGGATATCCAGAAGGGTCTGTTGGGACTGGCCAGTCACTTGAGCCAAAGTCAGTCCTTCTGCTATCGTTGCCATGAAGCTGCCTTGGACCATGTTGACAATCAGCATCATCTTGGCAGCATTGCCTACTTCACCTGGGAGTGAGACATACCATTGGGCATTCCTCCAGAAGAGATACAGCAGCCTTGCTCCCCCATCCCACACAGTATTAACACTACCAGACTCTTCATATCAAGCACTTGGCAACTCTCGTTTCCCCAGAAAGAAAAAGTTCAGAAACTTATCCATTTTGCAAGTACTCGAGGGAAGGAAGAAATTGTAAAAAAGTAAGATTTAAAATGAAAAGTATCATGGATTCTCCAAAATGAGCCAGTATTCAAAAGAAAAATCACAGAATCAACCAGGTTGGAAAAGACCTTTAAGATCATCAAGTGCAACTGTTCCCCAGCACTGCCAAGGCCACCACTAAACCATGTCACCAAGGGCCTTGTCTACATGGTTTGTGAACAATTCCAGGGACGGTGACTCCACCACTGCCCTGGGCAGCCTGTTCCAATGCCTGACAACCCTTCTGGGGAAGAAATTGATCTTAATATCCAGTCTAAATCTCCCCTGGTGCAGCTTAAGGCCATTTTCTCTTGTCCTGTCACTTGTTCCTTGGGAGAAGACACCAGCCATCTCCTCTCTCCATCCCACTTTCAGGTAGTTGAAGAGAGCACTAAGGTCCCCACTAAGCCTTCCCTTTTCCACACTAAAGAACCCCAGTTAAACCTCCAGTTAGGCTGAAAGCTCTGAAATCAGTCAAGGTCCAGAAGAACAGGCATACTGCCTACGAAGACAAGAAATAGAGAACACATATGCCTTTTGGACTCCTTGCTGGAATTCTCAGTCCTTGCACTTACTAAGAAACTCCCATCAGGCCCTCTGTGTTTCAATTACCTAGAAAAAATGAGGTCTTCCCCATCGCTTGGAAACAGCTACTGCAGTCCTCATATAAACCCCTGTCACCAGCTGCCAGGATCACAAGCATCCCATCATTAGATAGCTGCTGATTTCCTGAGACCGGTGCTTCCAAAAAGCGACCACCCCGGGACACAATCACCTGGAAAAAGAGCATCTCTGGTTAGCTGTGCATGAACAGCATGCATTGATGCTGTGTAGGCAGTACAGCAAGACCATTGTTTAGGGCATTCATGTCCCTGAGGACAGAATTTAAAGCAGAATAAGTAGCTTAGACACAAAGAGAGGAAAACACTAACACACGCTCCATCCTGCAAATGGTACTCAAGACCAAGAGTTGCCCTCACACTCCAGCAAGACTTTCCTACACCCATCACTACTGTGTGTGTTTTAAGAAGCTGAACTTAGGTGCTTTTGCCATGGTATCAGTAATGGACAAGGAACCGGTGCTGAAGCTGTACATGTGGTGTTATGAATCAAAGAAGATATCCCCCCTCTTTTTCCGCAAAGAGGAAAGGCCTTTGAGAGATCTCTTCAGCCATAGGTTTACTAATATTACAACTCCTCACTCTCCCAATTCATGTTGTACACTACTGCATCACCAACATGTCTGCTGAAACTTCACCAAAACCAGCTCCCCTTCCTCATGCAACACCACACATTGCCTTTAGGGCAGAGAATAACAATAATGATGTCAAAAAGGAAAGAAAATACTACTTCAGAACGTGTCTATAGAAATCTTCTCTATATTTCTACAAAATGAAACATGAAGGCATTCTTTTTCCCCAATCACAACATTTAAAATAGATGATTATGCATTTTATCAATTTAAGGGCAGTTACTAATCTAGACAGTGCTTTGTTCTCCAGCTTGTTACAGAATACCAATCTGCTACAAATACCTCTTAAGGGATCAAAATTTGGCTGCTGTCTGCACTGGTGCCACCTAATAGCCCTGCCCAATCTACAGGCTTTGTTTTATCATCTGGGAATGTCTTGTCCAACTTTGTTTGCTAGTGAAAATTTGACAGTTTATGTTGTCCTATTTTCCTGGGACTTGAGTGTTTCCTGAAAGAAGCTCAAGAATCTTCAGAAGCATCTTTATTATCAACAGCTTACTGCCTGAAGCAACAAGAACTGCAGTACTGCTGCCGAATCACAGATGTCAGAAGTTCAGTTGAATGTGATTACCTGGGCCAGCTCTGTGACTGTATCTGCATCCACGGTGGACATATCCACATAACACTTCCCTGGGCGAATACCCTGCAACACTCCACTCGGACCCAGTACCAGCTGTGGGGAACAGAAGAACGGTAAAGCAATAGGGTGTCTGCAAAGAAACTCTAATCCTGCAGAAAAGCAGTTCAAGTGAGGCTGGCACTGCACTGGTGGACTCCTACAGGGATGTCAAAACCTAGCCCCCAGGGGTTGTTTTTAAAAAGTATGGTTTTTGTTGGGACATTTATTTTTACACAGCTGCACTGCCCAGCACCTTCAATGACCTACCCAGCCTACCATGGCTGGTAGGAATCAGAACTGGCAGTGACTGTATCATGTAGTCTAGCTGGTGGAGGAACAATAAGAGCTAATCCTTACATCCTTTGCTGCTTTTGGATCTGATACACAGGCAAAGGTGATGTCACAGGTGGAGACAACTTCAGCGGGGGTTCTTCCCAGCCGTGCCCCCTCCTGGATGAACAAATCACACTGCAAAAGTCACAAATCCAAATATAAGAAAAATTAAGTCTGGAGCAAATGGGTTCTCTAGCATTTTGCTGAAACAAAGTCTGCTGCTAGAACCAAATTCAAAAGGAGTCAGGCAACTGGGTTGTCAGCTGTTGGTTTGTCCATACACATATACAAGGGCTCTTCTGCAGCTTTTCTGAACCCCCAGGTGAAGAACTTCAAAGAAAAACATAGGAAAGAGAATGCTTTGGTGAAGTAAGAGACTGAAGGTTGTCAGGTTTGGAGGAGAGATGAGAATAATGGTAAACAGACATAGAAAAAGGCGTTAGTGGACAGTAAACAGGAATACGCACAGCTGAGACATGTTTCAGTGGCCTGCTGCTTCAGAGTCTTAGTTCCTTCTTATTCTATCCCCTCATATTAGCCAGTTTTTGCAGTTTAAAAAAAAAAAAAAAAAAGAAAAAAAATCTTTCAGTCTCTTTTACCGAAGTAACCACAGTGTTCTTCCTGCCTTTGATATTCCACAGTACCATCCAAGTACCGCCACTCCCCTAGTTACCTATTTTTCCTCTTCCACTACAAAGGATAATACTGGCTAGAATACAAGCGTAATATAAGCTCCATCTTTACTTTGAATATACCTATAAAACCCTTCTCATCCTGGTCTTACAACACAGCAGGTTTTCAACAGAATCTTTGTTACTGCCACATGAACCGAACAATGGATGTGTAGACAAGGCTGTGGTCTGCATCTTAAAACACCACTCCTGAGATCAACTCCCAAGCAAGTCTTTTTGTCTGACTCCATGAGACAATGACTTGTCTATTTATATGAGCAGTATTTCCAGAGGCCATTTACATAGCATTCCCCAACACACACACAAGGTTATAATTGTTCTGGCAACTCTCTCCTCTCATACAAAATAGCAATGGGATGGGGACTGTTCACATAGGAGTGACCATACTATAACAGACTATAGCTTCATCTAGTCAAAAGTGGCTCCCAAAAATCACCTAGGAAATAATAAAAAACAAGGTCGCAAGCATATACTTGTGTTTTCTGGGCACCCTCTCCCACATTTAGAAAAGGTTAAATTTCATCATCTGTACCCTAAGCACATGCCTACCTTCTCAGCAGTCCGGTTCCAGACAGTGACAGTGTGACCCATCTTCAGTAAGTTGGAGACAATGCCACTTCCCATTAGGCCAAGTCCTAGAAATCCTATCCTGCGAGGAAGAGATAAACATTAATGCAAGAGAAAACAATTGGTGCCAGCCTCTCATGGTCTTGGAGATGAAGAACAAACCCTGGAGCATCACCAGCAAAGAAGTCCCAAAACCAAACACATTCAACTGCAGCCACAGCTAGAATAGGCAGATACTGAGCTTTTAAAGCAAGCTAGTGTTTATTTTGCTTACCAAGCATTCCTAACAATTTCTTGAAGAATCTCTTTAGTCTGCTTCAGAAGACTATCAAAATGTAACAGGTTTGGTTGGTCTGGGCTTTTTGTTTGTCTGGGAGGATTTGTTTTATCAAAATTATTCCTCTTTTGCTTTCTGTTGCCAGCCACTGCCTTATTGAAGACAAAGGGAACTTTCAGAGATCAACAGGTGCTTCTCTAATTAATTTTCCTGATTTTTAAACTAAGTCACATGTACAATGATGTGCTTATACTACTGAATGATTACAATCTTTATTTTAATAAAGCTCAGCAAGGACTGATGGGCTAAGCATCACACACAGACCTAACTAGACAGGGCTAGGTCTGTGCGTGATGCTTAAAAGTAGCCCCTGCTCCACAGCTGTGACTTCAAACAGGCACAGAAAGAAAGGAAGCAGCAGGCCAGTACAGGTCACCATGAGCAACGGCACAATAGTTCCAGACACCAGCTGCCTTCCTCCTCCTCCCCTCCCAAAACCGGCAAAAGTTCTGTTCTCCCTGTTCAAGAAAAAGACAACGTGCTAAAAAGCTCCACCCCTATAGTTACCTGCAACAGGAATTCCTTTGCAGTTATTGCGGCAAGGATCCTTTTATACATCATGCAGCTTCCTACCAAACCAACAACTCTATAAGGAGATTCTGAAGTGTTCAGTTACATGTCTGATGTAACTTCATGACAAAATCTGCCTGGCAATTCCTCAGTTAATTCTTCAGAATTAGCCACACTACAGATGTGCTTTGGCTTTTGCAAGCCACCTGCACTCACCCAGCTAGCCATGCTGCCTTTGTTAGAACAAACTCATTTAGACAAGTCAGAGCAAGTCACTTAAACAAGGTCCACCTATTTTCAAGTCTCTAAAACAGACGAGATACTCTTTCTCTCCCAACCCACCTCTGAACCACATATTCCTGTGAGACAATTTTACCTGAACAGATTCATTGTTATTGTAGTTCCCCTGGAGTACAGTTGAGAACTGACATCTCACGAGAACGACCCTAATGGCAAACGGCAAGCTGTGGCCTGAGCTCAATTTGAACAGAGCAGAAGTTACAGAGTGAAACAGGAAGCTCAAGTTAGGCTTCTCTCACTCTAGAAAGGAGAAGGGGTACGTTAGAAGAAACCAGAAAGCTCACGTACTACACAGCAAAGCTCTTGCGGTGGGAGAACACATCTCCCTCATACTCTTGTCTTCTATGTGCTCAGGAGAGCGATTAAATAATCCTACTCAACTGCCAGGCACTACAGGAGAAAAGTACCCTTTTATCTTTCTGCCTCATACAGCATTCGGAAATAATGATGCTTAATGTTCTGCAGCATGCCTTACAGGAAAAGGGCAACTGCAGAAAAGCCCTGAATTGCAAACTTATCCAGGCCAGACCTTATTCTGAATTTTTTCTACTGTACAGCCCCCGTTTGCTTTTAGCTGCCTTCTCCTCTTCCGCACCCCAAATCAGACTTTCACACAAGGACAGAGGAGATCTGTAGTCAGAGGGAAACATTAGGTTTATTTATTCTCAGTGACAAGCTGGATAATGGCTGCATGTCTGAGTTGGGAAGGAGAAAAAGGGAAATGGCTGAAGTGCGTTGGAGATCTTACTTTTTGTCTGTAGGCGTGATACTGCCATTGACTGCTGTGCTGTCTGCTGCCTGGATGGAGGTGGATCCTGTTTCCTGGGGTGGGGGGAGGCAAGAGGGGAAAAAAAAAAAAAAAAATAGAGTGCACAGCTCTGGAGGAACTTTAAGTCCTCAAGACAATAAGAAAACCCACCAAAACCAAGACTGGCCTTACCTCTTCACAAACTTTCAGCTTCTTTGTAATGGCTTGATAGCAGACAGCTGGCTGCATGGAGAAGACAAAGCATTCAGGGAAACGACAGTGCTGATTTGCTGTGCTTAGCAAATGGACAAATCCTTGTTAGACAAAAACAGGCAGCTCACCTTCCCACCACCATATGCAAAGGAGGAAAGCTCTTAGGCTTTCTTCAAAGGGAGAAAATAATGAAAAAAAAAACCCTATTGCAACACACTAAGCTCCTCCCTTCCCACCCTGCCCCAGCAGGTACTGCAAACTTCCATCTGTAGTTTGCATGACTGGCTCCTCTAGAGGCAAGGAGAGGGCAACCCTACTCTCACATTTGGCCCAAATTAAACAGAAATCTTGAAAGGCTGCCATAGAGTCCTTTGCCTCCTACCTATGCCCAGTAAGTCCATACAGCTGTGGAAGCAAAACCTTCTTGTTAATGCGAGAAGGCAGGTGGCTGTCAGCAAATGTTAAGGTGAAGGCTGCTCCCTCCCATGCTGCTTATGGTAAGGCTTGTCTAGATTACAACTGTTAGCTGCTCTTAATCCTTCTGGCTCTGCCCAGATCCTCAGCTAAATATAAATCCTTTTTCATTTGATTTGATAACTTCTTTTCCTCCTGATGTTCACTGCTGAAGATAAAATCCTGCAAGGCTTCTGACTCTCAGGAGATAAGTTGGCTACATTTTACACGGAGCTTTTCTGGTCCTGGAAATCCTGCCATATTCAGCTAGTTGACAAATTCATCCAGATGAAGGAAGTGGTAGGACAACAGAAGACAACCTAACAACAGGGATTTTAAACAGAAAACCATCTTTTCCTACCCCTCAACATTCAGTCTACAGAATTTACACAGAGCTGTCAAATCCTGGTGTGAGATTATCTTTAATTACTTAAACTATTCACTGAACTCAATGCCAAATCATTCTAAACCTTAAGGCTAGGAAGTAATTAAACACATGAGAATCCAATTGCCCCTAGCTCCTGAAGAACAGAGCATCACATACTCTTTTTGTATGATACTCTTGTGATGAACTCTTTACACATACTCCTTGTACTTAATCCCAGCACAGGGCAGGATGCCAAACTAGACAGACCAGGAGAATAATCCTGTGTGCCAAATCCTCACCTTCTCTGTCTGACTCAGCAGGAAGTGATGGAAGTGTGGATCACTGTCCTTCACAGGCTACAGAGAGAGAAAGCACAGGCTAAGAAACATTCCCAGAGTCACTGAGCAACCACAGCACAATTTCCTTGTTCTCCCAAACCCCACAAGAATGGCAGATTAAGGTGGAAATATTTATTAAACATATCAGCTGTATCAAGCAGCCTGTTTCAATTAAGCAGTTTACATTGTGTTTCATTCTCAAATCCATTCAAATCAAATTCCTCTAGCTTTGGAAAACCAGAGAAGATTATGAGCAAGATTAACATGGGAGGAAGAGATCTCATATCCCACTTCTTCCTCTTCCCAAGGGAATGAAAACATTTTTTCCCAGCTTCCAGGGAACTCCTTAAAACAGCATTCTGGGAACTGGCTGTGGATTACACTTAGCACTGTCACATGCTAGGCAACCCGTATTAACAGGAACAAGGGCTGTAAACCCAAATATCTCACCTCCCCAGTAAGCATCATAAGCACTACCCTTCAGTCACACTGCTCTTACTCTGCTTTACTGAACACATATTTATGCATAAAAAAAATGAAAGATTTCCAAAAGCTGCCTATGAGAGAAATCAAATGAAACTATTCTGTATGATAATATTCAGACAGGGAGAGCCTATCCACATCACCTCCTTCAGTTCTATGAAGCCAGTCCCAGAAATATTTTTGAAACAAGAAGTGCAAAACAGATTCACATTAAGTGTGAATCTGCAAATGGTTTCACAAAGTAGTATGTTGGGAAATGAGATTTCAGTCTTAATTGCCCAGGATATCATCTAGCTTTGTTACACTTCAGAATGACAGAACAAGAGCATTTTTGTTCCTACAAGAGGAAAAGATCTCACAGGTTTACAGCCCAGACAAGAGGTTCTAGATTTGCTTCAACAAACTCAGTTCCTAAATCACATATATTGTAAAGTTTCTTACCTCACTGACACTTGGTGGCCATTTAAATCCAGCCACTGTTCCAGTCATCACTCTCTTCACTGTACTTGACTCTGGAATTGTGAGGTCCTGAGGAGACAGGAGGAGCAGAAAGAGCTTACAACCTGGCTCAGTGGCTGGCCACAGCAAGCTGATAATACGAGCACACAGTTTTGAAAAGCATTACAAATGACTTCCATGTCACATGACATTCCATGAAGTGTTCATAGTTAAACACACACTGTATTAGTAAACACAAGTGAGGTGAAGAAAACATGAACTGCCAACGAAGCAAATCAATCATAGTTATCACTTCTGGAGAATCCATTCTTCATATGTAAGAGGAATCATCGCAATTGTGTAATCATGCAACGAACAGAGAAACAAATGATCAGACTTGATCCAGCATTTTCCTCTGGTGGATGCAGACCTCTGCACAGAGGTCTAACTCTTCCAACTTTCCCATCTTAAAAACAAGTAGCCTACCTTTTAAGCCTGCGGCTGATGGTCACATCTGCTCAGGTTTGCACAATCCATGAGACAGAACTGACATGTGGATTGTCCCATTCCCTCAACACGCCCATGATTTGTAATGTCATGATAATTCTTTTTTTAAACTGTTGAACAGATTAAAATTTATCTTTCTTATTTTCCAAAGATATATAGGTTAAAATAAGTCTTCATGCTATAGCTCAGACATAAGCTATAGACATACAGGGTCTTATGTTATATGAAGAGAATGTAAAGGACTTCTGCACAGTATGTGTTAGCTTCCTGAAATGAGGGTTCAGAAATGGAATAATATTATCTCTCCTCCAAAATTACTTCCTGCAAATGCACAATGTACCTTAGTGTCTATGCAGAATCACAAGAGAAGAGCACTGTTTGCAAAAAAGGTAAGAGCAGGAGTGCTGGAGTCTTAACTACTAGGACTACCCTAGATTGATGCAACTGTTTCATCTGTTAGCAGAGAGAATTTACACATCAAGTCTCCAACCTTAAAGTGTCTAGAGAGAGCCTTGCACACTAAAATTCTCTCCTTAGAGATCATGCTGCTGTTTCAACTGGTAAAGCACGGATGAAACCTGCTTTGATACCTACAAAGTCATGTTTGTTCTCTGAAAACATGCATGTAAGCTTAAAAGCAAGAGTATTTGAATGACCACATACGCCTACAAAGCTTTTCTATCTAGAACACACCTCAGCAACAACTGGGTTCTTGAATTTTGTGCATTCTCATTGTTTGGAAAACCACAATTTGGACTGTGATGGTGCAAAACCCCGCAAATCCCAACACTGCAATAATGCAGGACAGTGCCATTAGTGTTTTCTACCCCAGAGCTAAGGATATGGGGAAATTACGAGAACCAGGCAAGACAACAATAGGATTCTAAAATTATTTCACAGGCTGCAAAATAGTATTACAGCAGTACTATTATATTTTCACAGCAGTTCCTTTTAATTGTCAGTACACTACTTTCCAGAAGCTACTTTCCTACATTAGCCTGCTTACTTTCATGATTTTGGGCTAGACATTTATCACATAGCTGGTCACCTCTTTGTGATATGCTGTTTAAAACCAGTCCCCTTCAATTTGCCAGTAAAATAATTTCTACTACCCCAACTCACTCAAAGCACTCTGATGCTCTGAGATAGCCAATACTGTAAAACCTAAGCATGCAATGTGTCAGCATGATCAGAATTCTCCCAGCGATTAGTTTTGATTAATTTTGGAATGAATCTAGCTCAAAGACACAAAAGCATATGGCAAGCAGCAAAAAAGGCCCTGTGGCCTTGTAATAGAAATATGTGAAGATACAACAGGCTCATAGCAAGACACTATGAAAGGTGAAAGTATGTTGCATGAGAAGTATTTTCCTGCATCAGTCAAGTCACAAGTTCTAAAATTATTAGTAAAAATTCAAAATACGCATCTGTTCCTCCCCTCCTCCAGCTCCTCCCCAAAAGGAGAAACTGATGGGCTTTGTTGTACAGCCTCATTTAACAGAAGATGGCTCTAAAAAAAATCTAGCATTTCCTTCACAGCTACTATCTGAGATTATCAGCTTCATTTTACTACATTAAGAAAGAGTCTGCTGTTCAACCAGTGGATGCAAATCCATTCATCATTTTGGAGATCAAAGACTACCGTCTTGACTTGCAACCAGAAGTACACTGAAAGTAAAGATTGTGAAGCATGGCATAACATGATCCCTTTGGAGCACAGGTGAGCAAGCAGACTGCCGTACGGTTTATCAGCTGAGGTCTTCCAATGGTCTTCTGGTGCAGTCTCAAGACAGAGCATGCACATTGCAATGCTCCACTGAAGAAACAATTATCCATTTGGAAAAGGAAGATCTGGACCACAACAGTGAGTTCCACAATAAATAAAGAGGCCGAAACTCTAGATGAGGGTAGACAAAGTAATGGTGGCTATTGCTGCTACCACAACATCCAGAAATAACAGGGAACTAATGGGCATAAAATGCTCCAAGTTCGGATCTTTGTGATGTGGATGGAAATACATCCTACAGCATAGAAGCTGGAATGAAAGCAACTAATTCTTCTGGTGGATTCCCCAGGCTACAAGAGTTTCTTCTTTAAGCCCTACCTAGCACTTAAGAACACAGCACCCCCTCTAAGTACTGAGGGCGAAGTGGTAAGACTACTAATCATTTAACCATACCAAGTAGTTGAGATGGGAGAAGTCTGGAATCATATGAAGACCCATGTCTTCACTAAACCTTCCAACACAAACTGAACTTGAGGGATGGGCAAGACGAAAGGTGGAGTCTCAGGATACAGCTCTCAAAGCTCTCTCAAGGTGTGAAAAGAGCCACTCAAAATAACTAACTGGTGAAAATTACAGGAAGAAGCAACAACATGCTTGCTAAAGGTATCAGGGGGCCAAATGGTCTAGAAGTAGTAACACAGTACAGCTTAAAAAACTTGAGACTGAACTGACTCTTCCTGCTAGCCTGTTAATCAAGGTGCCAGTCAACCCTTGAGTCCATCTGTAAAGTCCACAGGGCACTGGTGGACATGCATAACACAAACCTTCTCATCCTTGGGTGGACGCCCCCGCTTTCGGGGGCTCTGATCCTGGGCTCTTTTCAAAGGTGATTTTGATCCTCTCTCTGATGAGACAGAAGAGACCCTCTTTTTTCCTTCCCCTGTGCCCTTCTTCAACTTCCCTTCAGGGAAACTGGCTTTGCGTTTCTCTTCACCAGCAGACTGCTTGCCTCTTTCTTCACTGGAATTATGCCGATTCTTTTCTTCATTGGAGTTATGGGAAGATGCCTGAGAGATTACAGAACATGATAAGAAAGATTACAGAAGATGGTAAGAAAAGAAAAGAATAGCTGGAATGATTTGCATGCAAAACCAAGGATGTGAAAGACCCTGTGCTGATTACTAACAAGCAAAACAACAGCATAGTAACTTATTTAAAACTAGATATTTGTCAGCCCTTTGAAGTTGGTGAATGAAGTTCCTGATTAGATCTCCTGCAAAAACACATCAGTTTAAGTAAGGAGTAACAGAACAGGCCACTTGAAGACTTGCTGGTATCATGTGCAGATAGATGCACTTCCAGTATACAGAAGACAAGATTAGCAGATACCAACTTCTAGCCCAAGACCTAAGACTAATTTATTAAATCATCATAAGCAGATGTATTAGCCTCTTCAGTTTCTCCATCAGTTTAACACCACCTTTTTCCCATCAAACAAGACTAAACATGGAAGAAAAGAGGATACAAGAAAAAAAAACTTCAAAAAGAACCCCAAAGGTGTGAAAATGAACCCACCCTCACCTTGCCAGATGTGACAAACTCCTTTCACACAGAAATGGACCTGATCATTATGCATGCCAGACTTGGTGTTTTTTTTTTTTTCACAGAGTGAAAAAGAAACCACTCACCTGGTCCCTGCCTTTGGTTTTTCTAAGAAACTCCTCTACAGCATCCACAGCTTGCTGGAAGCGCTTACCCTTGTTAATCTTTATCATTTCCTCTTTGTGAGGGTGATAAGGCTTTAGCTGCTCCACTTTGATCCAAGCACTAGAAACAAGAAAATAGGTTAGTTATATTCTCCAAACAGGAACTTTTTCAACCATCCCACTTCCGAAACCGCAGAGATACACCTTTTTTCTCCAGAGCTACTGATGATAGCAGCCCAAATTCACTTGCTTTCTACAGCCTGAAAGGCTGTGATTTCTGCATTCACCAAGAACTTTCTTCTGGCACTTCATTTCTCTCTCAAGTTTTATATCCTCTTATGCTAGCAGTGCTCCACTCTAAGCGCTATTCATATATGCAGTCAGCAAGACAGCTTTTGGATGTGATCACAGGTATTTGTTTAGAATAGAGGCAGCCTAGTGACTGCTCTTGTATCACTAGGGGAAATACCCATAATCAAGGTAGTCAATAATATGAAACTGCTCAAGAGGTTGTTGAAAGCAGGGGTCACAAAACAATTCTGAGCCATCCACCCCTGTTCAAACATACTTTGCACACATGAGAAAAAAAAAAAGCAAAATTACATATCTCAATAGACCAAATCACAAGTAAAATGAGCACAAACACTATAGGTTATTGCTGAAGAAATTTCTGATGTACCTTGATATTCCTCACAAAACCACAAAAATGTCATTTTTTGAGGGAAAAGAATCACTCTTCACTACTGATATTTTAAGATGAACTGGTACAGTAGCACAGCATTAACCTGGCTGCAGTCCTATGAGGAAACTCAAGTAACTTCCCACTGCTGCTAAATAGGACTTCTTGATATTTACCAAATGTTTAAGTGGTCAAGTATAGGGTGACTAACTCTGCCTTCCTTGAGGTTGACAAGTTCTTCTATCACTCCTTCACTGTGGCTTAGGGGAATGCCTTTGCTCTCAAAATTCTTTACAGCTCTCAGAGAACAGATTACCTTCCTCTCTCCCCAGATTCAAGCCCAGGCTTATCAGCTACACTGTTACAAAGCTACTTCCATCCAACTGAAAACAACCTGCGTAAGTTTTAGAAAAGCTTTTCCTGACCTTACGATGGCTAACAGCGCTTCTGAGCACACAGTAAAACCCAATCAAACTGATTTTCTCTGGTCCCAAAACATCTCTGTTACAAACATCAACTAGCCATGGTTATAGGTTTTAAGTATCTTCCAGTGCAGTTTAGCTCTTGCAAGCAGTTGAAATGGTTTAATAGCTGCCTTTTCAGACACAGTAAGCATTATGTCACACAGCTAAGCTGAACATAAAGATGAAAATAATAGCAATTATTATTACTGTTGTTATGCCTTTCTGGATCTTGCTTGTCCTCTCTTCATGAATATAACTCAGTAAACTCTTTAAAACTATGGAAATCCTCTTTGCTGGCATTAGCCACTGTAGTAAGCAATCCATCTGCTTGAAGCAGACTGCAGCTTTTTGGGAACTGACTGCAAAACACACTGGCATCATTCCCACAACACCACTGCAGACTACACCAGGATGCCCATAGTCTTGAAGCAGACCCCAGTACTGTTTTGCATGCAAAGCTCAATCTTTGCTTAGTTTACATCTTCTTCATAATACTGACTTAATATAAATTAAAAAGTCAAATTATTACTTTCAGATTAAAGTCTGCCATCTGGCAACTGTTCAAAGAATCCCATCTAGCTGCCCAGACATTAGTGAACTGTATCTTTAAATTCTCTTCTACTGTAAAGCTCCTCTGAGTGGTAGTCAGCGATACTAGACAACATCAGCTCACAAAACCCTTCCGTTATGTATATGAAGGTGCCAAAATTTTGGAGTACATTATAATAAGGTGTGATAAACCTTGTTGCCAAATTTGAATTTCTAAATAAAAATTACTTTTTTCTATCACGGCATTCTCTTAGGTTTCTGCACATCCTATCCCTCCTCACCACACATATCCATTAGCTTCCTTTCTCATTTCTTTTCCTTTGCTATGGAGAACATCTAAATCACAAAGCTTTCTGGATCATAGCTTCAAAGATGCATCCTGGCACTTACGATCCTCTAGGACAAAGACCTAGTGATCTCAGAAGCAAACTAATCAGTGAAAGTCTTAAATGCTGTCTCAATGTTAAAAATAAAATTAAAAAAAAACAAACAGTAATATAAGTCTTTTCCTTTCCACTTTGTTTTTTTTTGTGTGTCACTTAGGTGGACAACCTTCTATAAGGTACAAATATATCTCTGCTCAGAACACTTGAAAACAAAAGAACTTTCCACCAAAACAATCATTCATGTTCAGACACAAGATATCTCTCTGTTAAGCAACAACCTCAATGCCAACAAAGTCAAATATTAGGTAAGAGGCCTCTAGCACACAACATATAAAAGGAACTACTATTTGGATCACTGCACTCAAAAGAGTTGCAGTCAACAGCTCCATGTCCAAGTAGAGATCAGTGATGAGTGGTGCTCCTCACAGGTCAATACTGGGACCAATGCTGTTAACATCTTTGTCAGCAACATGGACACTGGGCTCGAGCACCCTCAGCAAGTCTGCTGATGACATGGAGCTGTGTGGTGCGGTCGACGTGCTGGACAGAAGGGATGCCATCCGGAGGGACCTGGACAAGCTGGAGAGGTGGGCCAATGCCTGCCGCATGAAGTTCAACAAGGCCAAGTGCAAGGTGCTGCACCTGGGTCAGGGCAATCCCAAGTACAGGCTGGGCAGAGACTGGATGGAGCAGCCCTGAGGAGTAGGACTTGGGGGTGTTGGTGACGGGAAGCTCCCCTTGACCTGCTGCTGACGCTCTGGGGATGCAGCCCAGCACACATGAGGGTTCTGGGCTCATCTACCCCACTGCTGCACTCTGGGGAGACCCCACTGCAGTCCTGTGTCCAGCTCTGGGGCAACAACACAGGAGGGATGTGGAGCTGTTGGAGAGAGTCCAGAGGAAGACACGAAGATGATGCGAGGGCGGAAGCAGCTCTGCTCTGGAGAGAGGCTGAGAGAGCTGGACTTGTTCAGCCTGGAGAAGAGGAGGCTCCAGGGAGATCTTAGAGCAGCTCCAACGCCTAAAGGGGCTGACAAGAAACCTGGAGAAGGGCTTTGGATAAGGGCCTGTAGGGACAGGACAAGGGGGAATGGCTTTCACCTGACAGAGGGGAGACTGAGATGAGCTCTTAGGCAGAAGTTCTTCCCTGTGAGAGTGATGAGGCACTGGCACAGGTTGCCTAGGGAAGCTGTGGCTGCCCCATCCCTGGCAGCGTTCAAGGCCAGGTTGGACGGGGCTTGGAGCAATCTGGTTTAGTGGAAGGTGTCCCTGCCTGTGGCAGGGGCTTGGAACTCGATGAGCTTTAAGGTCCCTTCCAACACAAACCTGTATGATAACTCAGCAATGAATTAATGCCTAGAAAAGCATCAATGACATTACTGAAGATGTCATATTTAAGATGAAGTTGTATTCATACTGCTACAGAGAGTCATCCGACATCTGTTAAAAAATGGGCTAAACAAAAAGTGAAAAGATGTAAAAAAGGTACATGTTAGGATTGGGTTTCTCTGTTAGTTTCTCCATACCCTTCCTCACCCTCTCCAAAATATCATTCTTATAAAACCACTACTCATGTCAAATCTATGTTATATTTATGAACAATACTCAAAAATTCCAATGCTTTTAAAGAAAAGTTCCTAACACATACTATGAATGTGTCCTGGAGCTGCATGGAAAACAGTGGCAGTGGAAAGATGCAACCAGAGCTGCCAGACTCAAATCTATGATACAAGCTTAGCACAGACAAGTAGACCTTAACCACTCAGCATTCGAGCCACTCTGTTCCAATATTACTTCTTCATGATAAATTATAGAAATGGAAGTCGAGAACTGTACACAAACATAAAATTTTTGCAAGCTGTATGTTTAGGGATGGAAAACAGTGGCACGGTATCTTGAAACGTCTGGTACTTACTACAGTCTAGGAAAAAACTCATCATGTTCTACACTGCACCAGTATAGATATCCACCTTAAATGCTAACACAACCAACTTCAAAAGTCAAGGGAAATCTCCTTGGTTGTTTACAAACAAAACAGAGAAATCAGAATGGGTTTCCTGCTGTTAAAAGGGAATGCCTCAATTTCCATCAGTAAAACAACTCAAATGGCTCAAGTACAGGATTTGATATGTAAACATCTTCATGGAAAAAAAAAACAAAAAAAATGACCACACTAAATTAGAATGACTGCCCATGCAGCTAAAGGGAGGGCATACTGAGCAAAAGAAAACAAAGCAGCAGGGCAATACTGAAAGAAATTCTAAGTACTAGGTTTTTCAAATTTGTGCAATAAAAAACTGATGCAGAGTACTTACACAGCCCAAGATACCAGGAAGAGGTGGAAAAGTTTTTACTGTAGTCATTTTCAGGTACGGCACTCTGCCTGCAGAGATGCCTAACAACATGCCAGCTGGCTGTGCTATACAGTAGTATGGCTATATAGAGCTCTGCATAGAATAATTTGCCTAGCTGAGAAAAAACAGTGCTATAAGCTAACTCCCGCTTGGCAGCTTGGCCTGTACCCTCAGATTGCCAAGAAGTACCACATCTAATACCTGGCAAATTTTGTTTTCTGATGTCAGGACCTGAACGAACATTTCAGAAAGACTATATCTAGAAATCTCTCATGCTGATATGACATCTTCAGTAATGTAATGTCACTAATGCTTTTCTAGGGCATTAATTCACGGCTGAGTTATCACAGAATCTCAGACTGTTTTGTGTTGGAAGGGACCTTAAAGCTCATCGAGTTCCAAGCCCCTGCCACAGGCAGGGACACCTTCCACTAGACCAGGCTGCTCCAAGCCCCATCCAACCTGGCCTTGAATGCTGCCAGGGATGGGGCAGCCACAGCTTCCCTAGGCAACCTGTGCCAGTGCCTCATCACCCTCACAGGGAAGAACTTCTGCCTAAGAGCTCATCTCAGTCTCCCCTCTGTCAGGTGAAAGCCATTCCCCCTTGTCCTGTCCCTACAGGCCCTTGTCTAAAGCCCTTCTCCAGGTTTCTTGTCAGCCCCTTAGGCATTGGAGCTGCTCTAAGATCTCCCTGGAGCCTCCTCTCCTCCAGGCTGAACAAGCCCAGCTCTCTCAGCCTCTCTCCAGAGCAGAGCTGCTTCCGCCCTCGCGGCATCTCCGTGTCCTCCTCTGGACAGCTCCACATCCCTCTTGCGTTGTTGCCCCAGAGCTGGAAGAAGAGGGGTAGAATCCCCTTCCTCGACCTGCTGCTCACGCTCTGGGGATGCAGCCCAGCACGAGGGGTTTCAGGGCTCAGGCACACATGGTCAGGTCATGCGGAGCTTTTCATCAACCAAAACCCCCAGGTCCTTCTCAGGGCTGCAACAGACTGCAGATTATTATACTTATCTTGGATTGCAAGCTTTCAACTTTTAAGTTAACACATCAAATCAGGAAGAGCCCCTTGACTCAGCTACATTTATTAAGACTAGTTTTGTTCTGATGCTTCATAAAAGTGCTATGAGTAAGAACAGACTACTCAAGCTTCCTATTAAGACTGATATATATGACTTGCAAGACCTATTAAAAGGTTATTGCAAGGCTATTACAGACTATCTAAAGGGGGAAGAGGGAGAGACACAAGCTAAATGTTTGTGCACACATCTCTGATAACTATAGGACTCTTGCTACTATTTCTACAAAAAACAGTAGAATGATACCTTCAAAATATTTTTTTTTCCGATTTTTAACAGTGTGATATAATGAATTCCCAAGCAGGCTATGAAATGTAAGAATATTTTGAACTGGATGAAGCACACTAAGACAGGCTTGCAAGCTGTGGGCCTGCCAGTCTATTAGTACTAACTACTAAAAGCAAAAAGGCACATATATAAGAAAGTGTAAGTTCTTATACTGCCATACTTGACTACCAGAATGACCTACAAAGACTTTCTAGGACAAGACTGTAGCTTGGGAAATGAAAGGGGACTTAAAAAACTATCTTAAAAGCACAGTTAGAAACACAGGTAAGAGTTCAAAGTTCACTTCTATTTAGAAAGACTAAATTAAAATTGTTTTGTTTATACTCCCATGTTTTGATGTTATTACATCCTTGCCAGGTCTATGGGCAGTAAACATCAGGTCTTCTCAGTTTTAGATGAAGAACCCTTTTACTGTGACTTGCTCTGAGAAGAGGCAGTCAGAAAAATAACTCCTAGGCAAACTAGAAAAATATCCTTATCAATGTGGAGAACAAGTAAATAAGAGGCACTACATGAATATGTGCATCACATCAGAAGCAACTGACTCCACCTGTACAATTAACATAAGGAACACAGAGCTCAGTAGAAGCTTTATCAAAAAGCCAGGTCTTAGGTCACAGTCTGAATGTACTCATGCTCCCAATTTATTGTCTTTAGCCAAAACTACTCACAGCCTCCCAGTTAATGTATTTCCTTAGTCGCTGCAGCATTGCACTGGGAAAACCACATTTTCTTAAATTATAAATAATCAAAACCTATCTATACACTACACCAAAGCCACTTTCAAACTCATCACTATGTTTATGTTTACCCCTCCATTCCACTCAGATGCATGCACACCAATTCTCACTTCTAAAAAGCTTTTTCCTTAATCTTTGGTATGGCAAACTGAAGCCACCTAAGTCAGGAGGAAACAGCTTTTACTTAGCCTGAAACTGTGGCATTACTGACCACCTCAGTCACCTGGGAAACCTCATAAGAAAATAAGACTATCAAGTGATAGAGAGATTGCCTACCCATCAACAAACTGGCTAGCAACCAGCCTCAGAAGTTTGTGAGAGGAATTCTACTCAGCAGCTAGCATCACCTTCATCCTATACACACTGGACAACAGGCAAATATCTTATACCTGTATCCTTACCTGTTGAACCTTGACAAATAAAGCAAGAATAGAAGTATAAAAATGGATCAGTGATAAAGGAACATCACCTTACAAACCTGAAAGTGTCAGAAAGAGTGAAGTGCTAGAAAACAGAAGCAATATACACTAGAATATCAGTACGAGTAAGTGCACTCATCACAACATGGACTACAGTCAATGATGGAACTTCGCATAATCCTGTTTGTCACACTCTTCAGTATGTTGAGTAGTGACATTTCATCAGTTATGTCTTTCCACTTATTGTTTACATGCACTTAGAAAAAAGTATTTGCAGAACACATTAGTTTACTCCACAAAATAGTTAAAGGGATTTTTCTCCTGAAGCTCACATTTCAAGTAAAATAATTTACATTTTTCCTGATTTGGTTGATAACGCTCAAAGATCAGGATTTTCTCAAGCAGCATCCTGGTTAAACTGTGCTGTCCTAACTGTGTTCTAGCCAGCACACCCTTTTAAACTTCCAAGTCAGGACAGAACAGGCACACAAGCTTCTCTCTTAAAATTAATTTGAAAGCAGAACAAAGGGGACAGCATTAATTTCTATTTAATTTTCCAGCAGGGTATGCCAGCCAAAGTGAGCAAATTTCTAAATCATTATTATTAACAGGAAATGATTAAATTTCCCAAGCTGGAGATGGGAGGGGGAGACATGACAACCACCACACTACCTTACTGTGAAAGACAACTGGATTTTCCCTTGCCAGAGCTCTAGAATCGTGCAATAAATCCCGATTATTTTGAAGCTCTGAATTCTTTATTTGCATTCCTGTTACTAATCTCAGCTACAGTACCACACATGACCACTTTTTTCCAAATTTGTCTTATAGAATAGTTAGGGTTGGAAAGGACATTAAGATTATCTAGTTCCAACTCCCCTGCCATGGGCAAGGACACCTCACACTAAACCATCTCACCCCAGGCTTGATCCAGCCTGGCCTTGAACACTGCCAGGGATGGAGCATTCACAACCTCCCTGGGCAACCCATTCCAGTGCCTCACTACCCTTACAGTAAAGAACTTCCTCCTTATATCCAATCTAAACTTTCCCTGTTTAACTCATTACCCCTTATCCTATCACTATAGTCCCTAATGAATAGTCCATCCCCAGCATCCCTATAGCCCCCCTTCAGGTACTGGAAGGCTGCTATGAGGTCTCCATGCAGCCTTCTCTTCTCCAGGCTTGAGCAGCCCCAACTTTCTCAGCCTATCTTCATACGGGAGGAGCTCCAGTCCCCTGATCATCCTCGTGGCCCTCTTCTGGACTTGTTCCAACAGTTCCATGTCCTTTTTATGCTGAGGACACCAGAACTGTACACAATACTCCAAGTGAGGTCTCACGAGAGCAGAATAGAGGGGCAGGATCACCTCCTTTGACCTGCTGGTCACGCTCCTTTTGATGTGGCCCAGGATACAGTTGGCTTTCTGAGCTGCAAGCGCACACTGCCGGCTCATGTTCATTTTCTCATCAACCAACACCCCCAAGTCCTTCTCCCCAGGGCTGCTCTGAATCTCTTCTCTGCCCAACCTGTAGCTGTACCTGGGATTGCTCCGATTCAGGTGTAGGACCTTGCACTTGGCACAGTTAAACTTCATAAGGTTGGCATCTGCCCACCTCACAAGCACATCAAAGTCTCTCTGGGATGTCTTTAACACAGAACATCTCTGTAATTGATTCAATAATGTGAAAAGAATCAAGAACAATCAGGATAAAAAGAGTCAATCTCCTCAACTTTAGAACTTGATTTGCTCAAATAACCATGTCCAACAACTTCACCACCAAAAACCACTCTCTCCCTTCATATCAACTGCACATGCCCTAGACTACTAGAGATCCAACTAAAGTTCATACTATTATGCAGCATTCACTCTACTCCATCAAATTTAGACCTCAGTTCTTAGTGGAAATTTATTTTTAAATATTGAGCAAAAAGAATTTATTATTTTCAATCATTTCCTTAACAAACATCCATTAAATGGTTTCAGTTACCTTTTTGAAAAAAGTTAAGGGTTTTCTAGTCTTCCACAGGTAATTGCAATTTTCTCCCTTACTGCATAACTCAATACAAAATAACAGAAAATAAAGGGGGGGGGGGGGAATAATAATTTTCAGTTTGTTGAAATCCTGAAGTTCTTGGTGGGGTTGGGCAGTTTTGAAGGGTTTTTTTTTTGTTTGTTTTCCAGTTTGTAACTATCTAAGTGTAGACAACTACAATTTTGTAGATGTGCTTCAAATCAATAAATTCTGCCTTGAAAAAGATAGCCTACAATAGTTTTTGCTTCCCTGTACTGTAAAGTCTTCTCAAAGCACAGCAAGAATCTTTTCAGTTACCAGGTATGACAGTATATTCTTTTACAAACATCAAATATAGTGCTGGTTTATTCCTCTAGCAGAAAAACAAATGCACTCATTAGCTGTACCTTTCTCATACACACAGGCTAAAATCTAACCCTGTCATGTCACACCTACTGCCCTAAAAATGGCAAGTTATCAAGAGCTTTTCTTCACAGCAGCAACTGAAATCATAACATGATTTAGTTATGAGATGTCTTTCCAGTCTTCATACCCCCACATGAGCAGCTATAGCATGCAATGATAGTTTATTTTTAAGTGCAAATAAAAGACAATCCTTTGCAAAGTTCCACTGTACTGTGTTAGTAAACATTTCTTCTGTGAAAGATCCTTATTATATAGCACAGTATTTTGCCCAGATGAAAACAAGCAGGTACATACTGATCTTCTGTTCCAAAAAACTTCACAAAGAAGCACTTTTTCCCACGAGGTTTCTTCAGATCTTTAGGTGGATTAACAATCTGAAGGTGATGAGAAGTGAAAGTTAAAAAGCACGTTTGAAATGAAAATTTACGATTTTACGTCATGTGTTACAGCTACTGTAGGTTTGTTTGCTTTTTCTACCTGATTAGGAAGAGAATCCTGAATCTGTACAAGTCTTTCAAGTAAATATGTAAGCCATGTGTTTCCTTAGACATGGGTAGGGTGCAGCAAAATGAAAAAGTACCCAAATTCCATGGATGCATCACTACACTATTAGTGAGGTTTTCTTCTCCTTATCTCCAATAGATAAGTTATCAATCTTTTTAAAATTGGCATTAATAATATTTCCATCTAAACCTCTGTCTTCACACCCACAACAGATTGCTAATAAAGTTTAAAATATTAGAAAAAAGCTGTCATTCAGTTACACAGCTGACACCAGAAAAGCTCTAGAGGAGCATGGAGTCCACTTGATCCAATAACCAAACGTCACAACCACAAACCACATCAACAACACTTTACCCTACCACATGCTGTTCTCTCAGCATGCTTAATCCTCATACATACACCAAAAATAAATACAAAGTTCTTACAGAGAAGAAGAAATAATAAAAATGGCATATACAATTTTTTAAATCTTTTTGGCCTTTCATCAGGAAAAAAAATCCAAACCGACCAACCAAACCAGAAGAGAAAGTTAAACTACTTCCTACCCCAGGATTACTCAAAAAACGTGGCTCTAAAAAATATCTTGAGAAGACAGACTATTTCTATTACTTAACACAGTGCATTTAACCAACCAACTTACTATGGGAGGAAAGAAACTTACCTTGCAGAAACCAATAGGAATTAAATAAGTAAATCTGGGAAACACAATCAGTTTCAGAGATGGAAGAACTGCTGTTACTTTTGATTCCATCTGAACTAACAGCTGTCAGTGACAGGCTGAACTATATCAAATAAAGCCCTAAACTGGTTCACAGTTTAATTTGTATTAAAAACAAACAAACAAACAAACAAAACCAAACCCAACCAAAACAAAAACCAAAATAAAATAAAATAAAACAAAACAAACAAACAAGATCCAGTATTAATCTTCAACTGAAATGCTTTCAGGCAAAACTCTCTCAGTGTAGAAGGAAAAAGCATAACCAACCAACAAAAAAAACACCACAAAAACCTAAGAAAGTAATACAATAATAATGGGGAAAACAAACAACAAAAAAACAACTACAAACAAAAAAACCCAAAACCTTACACACACACACAAAAAAAAAATACTATAAAAACCAAACAGCCGCCAAATCTCACCTTTCCTGGCCATGGAGGATACCGGCCCAGCTTCCCCCTAGAGAAAAAAGAAAGTATTAGGCACTAGAACCAGAGGAAAAGAAAAACCAACCAACCAACAAACAAACAAACCAGCTATCCCATGTTTACCTTTTTGGATTATGCTACATTTTTTGTATTTTGTATTACTTACGTTCTAAATCTATCGTGACAGACAGAACACCCAGCTGACATACTAGCATTACACTGTTAGATACCTGCACCTAAACTAAGCCTCTCACCACGATCTCACTAGTCTTATCAGAATTTACATTAACAGATCAGCAGCAGCACCGCTACTGCTGGAAAACACAGTGTTACAATGCTTATTACTCCCATAATACTGGATATTCCCTCACAAGGAACTGAAAAACATATTGATGCAAGCAATCAAACCAAAGTTCAGGTTGGTAACTTATAGTCATCAGACATAACAGTCCAGTGAGCAGAGCAGCCACTGATTTCCAGCTCAGAGAACTGAGATACTTAAAAGCTCTCACAGGAAAGAATTACTGGCAGGATTCCCTGAACAGTTCCATACCACTTTCTTCAGGTGCTCACCACCATAGTAAGACATGCTAAAGATATAATAGAGCCATTTAAAAAGGCAGAAAAGTTATTTCCTACACTTGCAAATGAATCTATTATGAAAACTACACAAAAGTACTTAAGTCACAGAGGAGACATTAGTCTTAGCCCTCAGCATGGTGGCAATGCTTTCACAAAACCTTATCAGTCATTGTCTTGCAAGAGACTGGTAAAGAACCTGTGGAGACCACCACTCCCAAACCAGTAACTCTCAGCAAGCTGCTGCGAGATGGCAATGCTGCACAGACTATTCCACAGCCATGTTCAGGCAGGAAGGCTGTCAAGAGCTGGAACAGTGACCGTGTCTCATATTTGGTATCTCCATTCTTGTACTGAACACGACATTCATCAAAGCCTTTCCTATGCTACTGTCTTTGTACAGAGCTCTTCTGTGACGGCTCTAGGGATAGCACCTGTCTAGGTTGTCATGTACAAAACTAAAGTAGGATAATCTGCATTCCAATACTGTGAGCAGCGTACTCCCCAAATCTGCCTTCAAAAAAAAAAAAAAATTATTTGCTAAAAGGAACCAATCTGTACTTACTTTGCTATATAAATTAGACAACTTCACAGCATTGTCAGTTTTTCGGATGAGAAACTGCAGTTGGCACAGCATGGCGCACGCGCTTCTTTTTATCTGGGATATAAATATAAATGCATGCACTTGCGTGTTGAGAATTAGCTATTTCTTGCAAACCCTAGCAGGACACCGTGGCCTATGAAGTACAGTAGAGCCTATGCTCTTAAAGAATGAGTGCTTGCAGGGCTTGATGCATTTGCCTTCTGATCAGGAAATACAGGTAAAAAAAATCACAGGTCTCCAACAATTAGAGGGCAGAACTGGAGTGACAAAGTGGCTTCTGTGAACTACAAAAGGGACATCCTAACGTGAAAAAAAAAAACCACTGTTTTCCCGATTTGCCGTGTTGGTTCCTTAAAGCACTGCCAAGAAATTGTATCGCTACTCTCCCTAAACACCTACTAACTTTATGTCCCTTCTCACCTCCTTTGGGAGAACACCGTATTTCCAACCGAGCCCCGCAACGATCGGCCCCCGACGCGACTCCCCTCACTCCCTCCACCTTACACAGGTTTTATGCGCCGCCTCCCGTTAGACTCCAATGCGGGCCCGGCCAAGAACCGAGGCTTCCTGCTCCCGGCCCGCTTCAGCACACTGCCGCGGATCGCCGCCCCCCCCCCGCCCCACCTCACACAGCCCCTGAGGGACAGCAGTAGCATTACCAGCCGCCCGGGCGGCAACCCTCCCCACCCGCTGCGCTGCCGAACCCCTCCCTACCCGCAGCCAGGAGTCGGGAATCCCCCCCCAGCTGCGGGGTGACAGCGCTCGTCATGGCATTCAGGCTCCCGCCGCGCTCCCCCGGGCAGGGCACAGCCCCGGCCCGGCCCCCCCCCCCCCCCGCCCGCGCATCGTCTGCCACAGGTAGCACCTCAGCCTCATTCACAGGAAGTGTCTGCCCGCCATCCTCCGCCACCCGCCGCGCCACTCACCACACTAAGTCTCCGAGCCTCAGGCTCACGGCCGCCATCTTACCGACAGAGCCCCAGCCGCGCCGCGCGAAGCCTGCCGGGACAACACGACACCGCCGCAGGGAGCGGAGGGGAACAGCGGCAGCGCAGATTGGGCAGCCCCCGTCATGTGGGAGGGAGGGCTGTCACTGACCTCTCCCCCGACACGTGACAGTGGCTGCGACGCCGATTGGACGGGCAGTATTGTAATGGCGTCAGGCTGCCGCTGGAGCTGGATGTGACACAGGCGTGTGTGTCCAACTTTGGCCCCAGGCTGTCCCGCTGCCGCCAGCGTCTCAGGAGGAGCCGTCAGGCAGCAGGATTTTGTGCTGAACACGTCGGAGCAAGCGGTTACGATACTGCGGTGGCGGTGCCGGTTCTCCCGCTGTGGCACAGGGCGCTGCTCCCAGAGTGTCTGCAGCAGCCCGCAGTGAAGGGGTGTACTTTAATACGGGATTTTGCCATGAGGAAAAGTAGACCGAGGACTCTGCTACTATCCAGGGGACTTCGCTGTCCAGGTGCAGCCTCTGCGGGCTGGCTGGGCACGAAGGAGCGTTTGTGACCTGCACGTGTATCTCCCACGGACCCCCGTTAGGCCAGACGAGGAAGTGGTCAGGTTTAGAATGTAGTATGCACCTGCTCGCCTGCCGTAGCAGCCGGGAGATGCTGTCTCTCGCTGGCTGTTGTAGGGTTACACCAGCTTTTCCTGGTGAATCTGTGTCAGGCGTTACCTTTCTGCACATTTGACTCAACCAGTTTCACAACTCCTCAAGCATTCTTGTGTCCTCTCTGCTCTGGGCCCCCACAGAAACCTTAAGTGCCTTAAAGGGTATGAGCTTAACAGGTGTGCTGGATACAACATGCTCACTCTGTACTAACTGTACCCTGTAATAAGTGGCTTAATTGCTCTGCCTTTTCTCACAGATTTGAGTGGACTGAGGTCAGGTATCTTGTTACTCTAAATCAGTGTTTATCAGTTTATTCAGGTATGTCCTCCTTGTTACAACAGGCCTGTCCTTTTTCAAGAGATGTACCATATTAAGAGAAAATGTCCTATTTTAAGAGCATTAACAGCCTTTAAAAAAAAAGCATTTTTTTATGTTGTGTAGCCTGGACCCCCTTCTCTCCACTTCTTCACACATCCATCTTGGAAGCTGACAAAAAAGTCTCTGTTGATTCGGAGAAAACTCCAGGAACAAACTCGCCAACAGTTTCAAGTTGACAAGCAGGTATTCTTCATTGCGGCGCCGGGAGACACGGGGGTAGCTCCTCCTAACGTGTGTCCCCAAATTGCTATACAGGTCATCCTTATATGGTCACTGAGCATATTACATCATTTTCCAAAAAGTTTCCGGCATGCATACAAAAATGTGATGGTCTTTAAGGGTCGTTTACTTTTCCCAACAAGCTTAATTAACATTACAGACGTAGCAATCATCCTGGCCTTCTACTTATCAGTTAGCTTAACTGCTCTCATCCTGGACATCTGCTAGTCCCCATCCCAGGTCCTGTCCTTCTGTTCTTCTTTTCTCACACCTTTTGTACTGAGGGCCTGAAACTATGTCAACTACTTCCAAGCACCGCAGTTATTTTCCATTACAAAGCCATCAAACTTAACATTACTGAGAACTGTTTACATTTTGTACTTTTGTGCCTCCTTGTCTCACTATAGTGCCTTCAGTAAAGGGCTCTGTAGCAGTACTGGAATGGATGCATTCACTTCAGTACAAGGTATTGGTTTAAAAAAGAAAACCAAAACCCACTTTTCTCCCGAGAGGTTAAATTTACCAGCTGTCGTGGTTGAAACACAGGTGGTAGCTCAGCACCAGCAGCTGCTTCCTCACCCCCGAGAGGAGAATCAGAAGAATGTAAAACCTGCGGGTGGAGATAAGAACAGCCCAATTACTAAAGTACAGTGTAATACTACTGTTACTACTAATAATAAGGGAAAGATCAAGAGGAGAGAATATAAAGCTAAAAGGTGAAGGAAAAAGACCATCAAACTATTAACCAGTAGTGATGCACAATACAGTTGCTCAGCACCTGGTGACCAATACCCAGCCTGACCTCAGCAGCAACTCCAGGTGAGCCCACCCCCTCAGTTTATATACTGGGCGTGACGTCCTGCGGTATGGCATACCCCTTTGGCTAGTTTGGGTCGGGTGTTCTTGTCTCTGCTTCCTCCCGGCTTCCTGTGCCCCTCCTCACTGGCAGAGCATGAAACTGAAAAGTCATTGACCAGGGTAAATGCTACTGAGCAACAACTAAACCATTGGTGTGTTATCAGCATTGTTCTCAGCTAAAGTCAAAACACAGCACTGCACCAGCTACTAAGAAGAGAATTAACTCTATCCTAGGCGAACCCAGGACGCCAGCCTGTAGCCAAAATCCAGGGGCTAATACAACCAGACCTACAGTTTTCTATTCCTTAAATCTGTGCTGCACGGCTGTGTTGTGTCTGCAGAACCGACGCCGAGAGCTCCGGAGGTAGGACGCGGGGGCGCTACTGCCCCCCGCCGCTATTTTGAGAGCAGCCGACACACTTCCGCGAGCGGCGGAACGCGGTGAGGAGATAGTGTCCCTCCGGCCGCTTGCGCCACTGCACAAGTGTTCCGCTGTACAAGGACTCCGGGCGGCTTCCGGGCTCGGCGGGAAGTGGAGGGTCGCGGCGGTCTGTGGCGGAGAGCACGGTGCTGCAGGACGGCGCCATGGCCCGCAAGAAGCTGCACCGGCCCATCGCCGCCATGGCCAAGAAGATCCGCGAGTACCGCGCGCTGAAGAACCGGCCTCGGGACTCGGAGCGCTTCGCCCTGGACTACGAGACCATGCGGCGGCCCCTTACGCAGAAGCGGCTGCCGGTGCTGGCCTGGGAGGACGTGCGATACGAGAACCGGCTGCTGGCCCTGCTCTGCCGCCTGCCGCGCCTCGGCGTGGGCCGCACCGTCACCCGCAAGTCCTGGCTGTGGGCGCACGACGAACCCTGCTACTGGGTCATCACCAAGGTGAAGGCGGACTACATGGCCGAGGTAATACCACCCCGCCGGCGCCTCACAGCCCACTGCTTCACAGAATCCCGGACTGGTTTGGGTTGGAAGGGACCTTAAAGCTCATCCAGTTCCAAACCCCTGCCATGGGTAGGGACACCTTCCACCAGACCAGGTTGCTCCAAGCCCCGTCCAGCCTGGCCTTGAACATTGCCAGGGATGGGGCAGCCACAGCTTCTCTGGGCACCCTGTGCCAGTGCCTCAGCACCCTCACAGGGAAGAACTTCTGCCTAAGAGCTCATCTCAGTCCCCCCTCTGTCAGGTTAAAGCCATTCCCCGTTCAACAGGTTCTTGTTTTCTTTGCAGAATATGGATCATGGAAGAGCTTGGGGTTACCTGACCTTCAGAGGTAAAACCAACTTATTTTCCTACATGTGAGGTTTGGAGAGAGCATCTGTAAGTGGGACCAGAGAATAACAAGTGGAGGCATATGGGAGGGTGAGAGAGCTGCAGGAAAACCACAGCCTTCCTACTTGGGAAATAAGTTTTTCTCAGATCTGTCAATGACAAAATTTTGCATGTTTTGGTTTCCAGTGCTGGGATCTGGCCCCCACAGGATGTCTTTCTAAGGAATGTTGTGAGATAGCCAGTGTAGGCTGACTATGGAGAAGGACAGCATGCCATTCAGGGAGTTAAGTGAGGTGACAGGTTAGTTTGAGTCTTCAAAAGCAAAACATAAAATGAATGCATGAAGGTATTCCAGGTAAAATTGTCAGTAAAATAGGAGTGATGTCAAGTAAACTTATGTTAGTGGGATTTTAAATTAACACTTGGAGTTGAGGGATTCAGTTAGCATTTCTAAAGCTGCTTTATATTAGGCACATGAGTGTCATTTACTAGAGTTTTTGAAACATTTCTCATTCAGAGTTTTTAAAGGTGTTGGGTATTTTTAATATTTCCCAGGGAACTGTAATCAGTGAAAAGAACTCTTGTCCCTTAGCCATGGAAACTGAACTGGACAGATAAAGTGACATTTTAACTTAAAGAGGGAGTCAACCACAGAATTGGAACAACTTCCCTGTATTCCTTTCAGCCTGTTTCTCTTTCGATTTCCAAGGACAGAAGTGGGATCCTAGAGTATAGCAGGGAAGATACTGTCGGATCATTTGAGAAACTTCCTTTACTAGTTATTGCCAGTTGTAGGATTTTTGGTATCCTAGAGCTGAAACTTGTTGCATTTCCTGGAGGGAGTTTGTTGTGGATAGTGTTGTTCACTGTGTTCATTATCTTTTCTCAGGCAAAACTGAAGAAGAAGTGAGAGAGATTGACAAAGTCATGTACCATGACTGGCGTATGGTGCCCAAACACGAGGAGGAGGCCTTCAAGAAATTCACCCCGGTGCAGGAGAAGATCATTCGGTTCCTGCCATACCCACCTTTGCTCCGAGCCATGATCCTGGCGCAGTGGCAGAAAGAGGGAAAGCAAATCACAGAGGAGCCGATGATTGACCTGGAGAAGGTCATGGCCTCTCCCTGTCAATGTGCAAAGAAAAAAACTACAGGGACACCAGTATAAAGACTTGTCCAATGTCTTGAGCTTCCCATGTGTTCTCAGTGTGTTAGAAGTACAGCATCTTGCAGAAGACTCCCTTGTCCACTGCGATAAGGTGTGTCCAGGTTTCCTGACTTTCTCCCCAGCCCTGTACAGTCACCTCGTCTGGAAGGAAAGATGCAGATACATTCAGCTTTGTTTTTACCATAGCTTTGGACTCAGCAGAGGAACCTTCTTGGTTCCCTGCATAGTTTCTGAACGCATAGCTCCTGTCATCTAGCTGCAATTCTTTGGAGCACAATTTCCTTTTCAGCCTGAAAATTATTTTTTTAAGAGCATTGGGGGTTTTTAATAATTTGGGTCCTACATAAATCAGACAAAAATGATTGAGAATATTGCATTATTTCACAGAACTGTGTATGAATGTATCTACTAATGAAAATAAATATTTGAAGAAAACCTGGTATTTTTTTTCAGTGCGTGGAGGTCATGAGCTGGTCCTTTGATGAGGAGCAAAGGCTGGTAAGAGGTAATCTCTCATTGCTCTGTAGGGCTGCTGCTTCACTGACTTCAGAAGCAATGGGAG